CTCATCTGTGTGTGTGCACTATGCTTTCTACTGTCACAGGACTTAGCAGTCCCAACCAAAAATGATGACCCTGACAATGCTAGACACCAGTCAAGCTAAACAAAATAACAGATTATTTGATTAAAGAGTTGAAGTGCAAGACTACATGCAATGTGTGAGGGAGGAGTGAAACCATGAGACAGCACATCAGCAATCTCAAGTGTAAGGAGCCTGCAAAGTTGCTGGAACTTTGTTGAAGCACCAGTAGTGAAAGCAACATCATATCTCATTTTGGTGGCTCAGCTAAATCTTACCAATCCTGGAGTAAAACAAATAACAAAACAAACCAAAAGCAACCCCCCCCTGCTCCCAAGAAACATTCATACCTCCCTGTTCATGAAGAACTGCTTAACAGTACAATGATTTCCTTCCTGTCCTCCTTCCAGAGCAGAAACTCTCTCAAACAAGAGCTCACAGGCATTTGCAAGGACGTGGCACATCATATATGGCTGCTACTTAAGAATTCATTAAACTGCAGTGAAAGCGGGAGTCGTGTGCCTTTTTCAATCCTACATTCACAATCCCAACCAACATGTCAATTAAATTTCCTCCATGCTCATCACATGATGGGCAAAGCTGTTGTATAGAAAGACATACACTGTTCTTTATAAAAGCTGTACTATTTCTAAAAGTTGTACTTCTCATATACATCAGTTGTTTTCTTGAGTGCTTTACACTAAAATAGCTACTAATTCAATTTTAATTTGTTCTTTTACAATACAAAGCATTAACAACATTACTGTGTAGATTGCAGACAAAAACTTCCATGTTTCAGTTGATTTTGGCTTTAAGCTATGAAGTAGAAACTGCTGTCAAAAAGCAAACCATAAATCATATCTACAAATGGTACTGTAAGTGCCAAAACCCTAAATTTTCAGGTAAACTTTCAGGTTACATGTTAACTGCTATGGTAGGGAAAAGGCCTCTACACAAAATTTATCTGAAGCTGAACAAATAAATGTAACTGCCTGCTGTGCAGAGGTTGAAAACCTACCTGATAGCCTTGCTGAGAATTTATGCATGAGTAAACTCATTTTTGTGGAATACACAAGAATCGGCTTCATTCTGCTGTTACAGAAGAAAAGCTGTCATAGGAACAGCCATTTGCAACACCCAACATAACATAGGTTGTGTACTTGTTTTAAGTTCATGCTTATATATGAACAAGATCTTGTCTTTTCATTAAAAGCATGACATTATGATTTCAGTTCTGGCAGTGATGGACAGAACCCATCATAACCCACTCCAAACTGTTCCAACCATTAATTATCTTGTCAGGAATAATGTCCCACTTTTGTCTTTGTCTAAAGTTAAGTTCTAGTTCTTCAAGTTCATTAAACTTCTATGTCTGCTGGATGGAAAGACCATCTACCATCACATCATTTTGGAATGTAGTTTCTTTTAGAGCATGAAAATAATGATCATTTAAGATCCTTCTCAGCACTTCATTTAAATCATTTGCTAATCCCTCCTTTGTTATCACAATTTTATCTTTCCCAGCTTGCTAACATTTTTCTTCAAATCTTGATGTCCAAACGTGACACAGCACTGCATCAAGGGGCCAAAACATGTATTGACTCAAAAGTCCCTTTTGCCCTAACATTGCAAATCTGCTTATTTATTTTCATACTCAATGTCTTTTTTTTTCCTTAAAGTCATTGCTGCTTCAGAGAATTTTCTATATGCTCTCTATTTTCCAAAATATCCTTACACTAGACCAGTGATTCCCTATCAGGTGAGGCAGGTAGCACTGGAAAGTTACAAACCGATAAGAGGTCAGACAGAGACCAACTGAACTACCTTGGGCTAAGACCAAGCCTGTTTCCTGCAAGGCCAAGCAGGACAGTGCCATTGCGCAAGAACAGGTGCAATACGGAGCAGAGGGCAAAAGTTGTCCAAGTAGCTCTTGGCTTTCATGGATGGGTTCACACAGGGAAGATGATGGCAACCCCTGGAGGTACCCAGCTTTATGTGGCAAAAGGGGCTAGGCAAAGCCAAGCTTGAGACACTGTTGGTACTCTCAAGTAAAGTGCAGCTATCAAAGGCCTGGAAATCATTGCGTTACACTCTTGTTAGAATGCATACGTTTTGTTTATAGTTGGTGTATCACAACACGCAAATTGGTTTGTATACATTATCTTCAATTTCACACTCCTCAGATACAAGGGCTGATAACTTTCCATTTATATTCTGATAGACATATGACGTCATTTGAGAATCTGTTTATCACGTTATGTTAATTTCCATGTTCCAATTTCTTGATTAAAATAGGGTGCAGCATGATATCTTATGGAAGTCAATCTATTACTTTACTAATTTTACCTTCATCAGCCAGCTGGTAATCTCACCACAGAAGACATAAGGACCTAGTTTTCAGCCTTCAGTTTCTGCACCTTTACAAGGGCTGGAATTAACCATTCTTATTCCTTTTCTTAATATTTTTCTTCATTGAGTCCTGTTGCATTATTTGCATCAGGTCAACACCAGACTGTTACACTCATAACCAAATGTGCCATTTCCTTTACTTTTTCTTTTGGTAAATATCAGCAGCTTTTTTCCAAATCCCCTGCAATGCCCTCAGTGCCCTGAAAATTCTAGAAACCCCCTCACACACACAATTATTGGTAGCTAAGAAAAATTCCCAGGCAGCTTTTTAAACTGTGCAGTTCAGCATATCCTGATTCGCTAATTTTAAAATGTCTAGATTTCACAGCTGCTGTTTCATGTCCCTCTTACCTGCTAGAACAGAAGTGCATTATGATGTAACTACAGCTAGTTTTCCCCCCTAACCACAAAACAAAAGCACTTAGTAAACACTGCTGATTTTTCAGTTACTACATATTTTTATATCATTGCACACCAGCAGCTGCGTATATGTTCTCAACTGACTTGAAGACCGGTCATTGGTCTTCTACCTCCTGGCCTGAGATTTTCTGCCTTTGTATCATGTGGCTTTCTTCAGTCATCTCCTGCAGTTCCATTTATGACAACCAGCATCAGCTTCTCACTTTTTCAATTTTGGACATGCACACATACAAATGCATGCTTAATACGTTTATATGTGTCTATACACACATCTGCCTTCACTTTCCTTCAAAGCAGTTTTTAAATTATGATCTTCTCTCTTGATTGTGGCTCTCACCAATATCTACTAAAACATTCTCAAAAATGCTTTACTTCTCATTGACTCCTGCAACCCACACAACGACATTCCAAATCCAAAAGGAAAAAAAAATGTAATGTTGGACTAACAGATAGGAAAACTACAGATAAACAGAAAAAACACAAACATTATCTGTATTATTTTGTATGCCTTACAGTCCTTGATGCTTGATATAGCTATGAGCTTCATTATCCTCTCATGCCACTCACACCTGAATCACTGTCTTCTTCAAAGAGACAGTCTGCCTCAGACCACTTTTTGCATGTGAAAAACCTAGACCACCCTAAGATACTCAGCTCCTATTTGTGCTTTTCTATTGTTCATGGAAAGAGGAAGATACATAGGAAGAGTATCAGCTGCCCTAAGGGATACTCATTGTGCAGGTTCAAGAATGCCTTGAAAAACCTGAGTATGTTACCCAAAGGATTAAGTTTATAGTCTTCATATTATTTGCAAATTTTGCAGTTGAAGGAACTCTCTAGCCATGATCAAAATCCTGAGTATTGTGTACTTCAACAGCAACAGAAAGCACATTTTTGTGCTATAAAAATACAGTTGCTATTTTTTTTCCTATAACATTGATCAGTCCAGTCCCTCATGATTGCCAGAATAAGGCAGTGGAGGTTTGTTTTCATTTTTAAATACCTATGTCTGTCTCAAAACTCTCACTAGCTAGTTAAGTCCTACTGAATCTAGCAAAAGAATCAACACCTTCCACTTCCCTTGCCTTTTCACAAAATGCAAAGTATTTCTTCCCACATTATCTGAACTGACCAAATAACACTTGAAAGCAAAGATTTCTGAACTGAAGAGCATAGTACAATACAAAATAGTTTCTTTCCATAATTACAACTTTCTACATTTGTCTGATGCTCTGCCTACTTTATAGTATATTAGAAAGTCCTCAACAAACAGGATCATATGAGTTACAAAGCTGAATACCACTGGTATCAAGGTCTTGAACACTTCTGGTTCCCAGTATGCACAGTAAACAGTTGTAGTAAGTCATCTTGATTACCTTGATTACCTTTACCTATGATGGAAATAGAAAGCTCCAGTGAGAGAACCCATAGCAAACTTTACAGACCTGAAGGGAAGTTTATAATAGCTATATGGCAAGTGTCCATGCAATTTTAAAACTTTGATAGCATTTGTCCTGCATATTCCTACTAGTTTGCCAAAATATGCCAAAATTTCTATGACTCACAGGTAAACATCTTGTAGCATGGGCAATTGCTGTATCCTATACACTTTACAAGTCTCTAGTCCTGGAAAAATTAGTCAAATTAAGTTTCAAGAGCACCTTCATGAGGCCAAAAATTCACTGAAAAATTAAAATTAATTATTCTATAAATACATTTTTCCATTTATGCACACAAGTCTTTTTATAGCGGTTAAACCTCCTCTCTTTCCCCTTTTTAAACACCACTGAAACTGTCAGGAACTACATTTTCCGTTTTAGCAATCATTGCATACTCATCATGATTCCTAGAATTTAAAAAGGAATTGTTGATGGTTCAGATACTGTTAGACTGTCATTAGTTCTGCAAAGTATGTAATTTGTCATTGTGCAAGAAATGACAGTACCTTCACTTGTGCAACATGCTTTTAAACTTCCTCTCTCTAATTTGAAAATGCCAGTATTATACTCTGCTTCAAGAGAGATATTTTTAAGGCTTGCAGGTTGGCTTGTCACAGAGCAATTTGTCAGGTAGTATTTTGTCTTCATTAAGGTTTATTCGCATAAAGTGATTGGCCTGTCCGTGATATTCCCCAAAGACAATAAGTTCTGTCTTACCTGACGGTAATGAGACCTGTGTTAAATTTTCACTTTCCTCTTCAGTGCTGCCATCGTAGTAATTTTCTCTTCCTCTAACTATCTGAGTGATAGCTACACTATCCCTAGGGGGAAAAAAAAAAAGGAAAAAAGCAAGCACATCTTTGCCATCTATTATTCCTGCAAAGAATTTATAATTATTTCTGCACTGTCTTAGAGGCAATGCAAGCTGATACAAGTCAACATAAAGTCCCCATGCTGAACAGCTTAGCGTATTCATATACCAAAACAGACAATAAAAGGTAAGATAAGATAAAAAAGAGGAGGATAAAAATAGCAAACAAGTCAAGGTGTGTTGTAGCATTAGAAAGATTCATCTTCTCTGGATATTTTTGAAATAAAAAGTACATAAAAACATTTGGATTTTGATATTTTTGTTTACCAAAGGACAAAAGGAATCAAACAATTCAGGGAGAATGCATATCAAAGTACCACCTATGGAAATGCCAGAGACGTACTCTGATTGGAAAATCAACTGCAACCGAAGAGAAAAAAGAAGAGTACAGATTCATTGGATATTTATTTCTTGGCTACAGCATCCAAAACAATACGCTGCTATTTGCAGTGACGCCACAAAGAATCCTCTGCTCTCATGACTACCGGTATTGTTTTGGATAACCAAGCACTTAGCCAGGAAGAACTGTCACTCACTGTTAGACCCAAAGAAATGGAAACTAAACTAAACTAAAACACATATCAGGTATGATACCAAGAAACTCGGGAAAATTAAGAAATACCTTGTACATTTGGCATCTGCTGCAGATTCTGTAGCTTCATTTAACAACTTCTGTAAGTTTCTTATCTTTGCCTTCTTTTCATTTAGCACCAAAACAAATCGGTTATAAAGATCTGCTTCTAGTTCTTCTTTAGCTTCCACACATTTTTCCAGCCTACAATGTAAAATTAACCGTTACACCATTTCTTTTTAAAACTCCGTGTTTCCTGGAAGAAAATTCTGTAGCCAGGCCAGCCTTCCTATTACAGGAATCTCCATACCAAACCATGCACGACTAGTCCAGCATTTTGTGTCTGAAACAGGCCAAAAGAAATGTTTTTTTCCACAGAAGATTGCAATGAACTTTGCTACCAAAAAGGGGAAAGTTTCCAAGGGGAAAATTTTCTCTTCATGCTCTTTTTGATCGGTTCTTCCACACATGCATCTGAGACAACTAAAATTTAAATAGGCAAGTGTTCTTTAGTTTCAAAGCTGAATTCACCGTAGTGGGCATAGCTTAGCAGGATACACATAATGAGATTACAAATAGATATGATCAAGCTTGACAGGTCCGAAATCTGGACCACACACTCTGACTTAAAATATATTTGAACAGGAAATAAAAACAAGAATTAGGCAACTCTACTCCAACACGGACTGAAATGACCAGCAAATACTTGGGGCAACTTGGTCAGCTCCAGAACTTTTCTTGCCAGGACTCCTGGGGCAGATGTGGGCGATACAGACCTTTGCCTGACTGTTTTCCACCAACAGCCTCACGTGTCTTGTTCTGGAGAGCTGGGAAGGTACAGAAACCAGCTCCCAGCAAAGCTCAGCAGTACACTGCAGCAACAGCTGATGGCAACTGTAATTCCTTAAAGGCATTCAGACAAATACAGTGCTAATAACTCTGGTCCTGCAGACTCCATTTCGAATTACACTGATGCAGAGCTGAGATCTTGGTACAGCTGCAACCACCACTAGGCAGAATTTCTTTTTCCCCCCTAAACCAATTACAATTACTTGGTAGAGGACTAAACACAATATATATGAAAAAGTTTTAAAAGCTCTTAATTAACATCTTCAGCGTAAAATATTCATCTGGTTCTGAAAGGTTTAACATGCACCTGTAGGCAGGTCAATATCAATAAAACAAAGCACAATGGAAACATACAATTAAGAATGTGGATGTATACTGTCTCATAAACAAAGCAAAAATGGAATACAAGCAACATGAGCACAATAAACCAAGTGACTTACAGCAAACATGATTCTGTATTTACTTCTTGAATTTCATAACTTTTTGACCCATGGGTTGAACCACAAACATTTTAATAGCTGTGTTCATAACAAGCAAATAAACATCTTGATAATCTTATTGATCATGGTAACTACAGTGTTACAGCAAGTGGTCATAACCTATAAACAACATTCTTTTCACTAACCTGTGCGAGGTCGGTAAAAAAGTTTACAAGGCTTCCTTTGTTATTAGACCCAAACACATAACAGATTTTAAAATAGTAATTTATAAGGCAAGAAATTTCAACAAACTTCCCATATAAATATTGATTAATTTGTTCATCAATCAAAACTATATATGATGTAAGAAGAAAGACAATAGAAAATAATCTCATGAAGTATTAAGTCTACTGTGCAATGCTTTAGGGATATGCTTGATAGTTGATAAATAATTCATCTAATTTAAATGCAAATAGCAGAACATCATTACCATATAGATCGGTTCAATAATTCCTAAATGAAAGATCATATGTACTAATCAACTACCAAGAGACTTTGCGCCTACAAAAGGAAAGTTAACTGTTTAGTGGGGAACAAATAGACAATTCACAAAGAATCACAAACCATAATACAGGGTCCAGAAGTGCCTTAACCAGCTCTTGGAAGGAGAAGAGTCAGGACAGGAACTGCCTCCCATTTATCAAGTAGGATTCAGCCATTAAAAAATAGATTTAAAAAAAACACACAGCCTTTGGGCAAATTGCTATTTATGTGCTTGAAACTAATTATGTCTGTGTACATAAAAATGGAAAACAAGGATTTTCTGTAAAATATGGTAAACCTGTCTGTATCAAATCCTGTAGAAATCCTCTCCCACACACAAAACAATACTAACTAAAGAAAGTGCTTACTACTGTGCCTTGATTTTGCCAATGGACTGGTTAGTGTCAGAGCAGCTGAGGTCGGTTTAAATAGCTACACTGAGATATTTTGCTGTCTTGGTGAAAAAGATGTCATATAAGACATCCACTGATGAAAATCCACATAACTGTAAACTCCCAATGAAGTAAAGCTGAGCTGCCTTGACGTTAAGAAACACACTATAGGAACCTATTGAAAGACTAGCCAATTTCTTTAGCCTCTGGAGCAAAATATTAGCACCTTGGAATATACATACTGACTATATGCATAGATCAGAATATTAGCTGTTCCCTGTAGGCAAAATCAATTAGTAGCATGCCATCAGTTAATCTTACATGATTGTTTCCATTTATGTGAACACCTTTTTTGATTTTTTCCTGTTGTTTGAAGTAATCCATATATAAATATGTTCTCTAGAAATAGATATGACATTAATTTAGCATAACATTCAATCAGTGTAAAACAGTATTACATTAATGCTATATTTGAAAGTTATAAGCCTTTAAAAATACACTATTATATGTCACATGGTGATACTTACAAACGGAATAGTAAAAAGCAACAGTACTCTGCTGCTTGGGAACAGGGATGCATTAATTATGCAGAATATATGTGTGCGTAGGGTGGCTTTGGCTGTAACTCTGCATAGCCTTTAGGATTCACTCAGGCATGCATTACCTGAACTATGTGACTACTAAGCAAAGCTGGCTGGGCTTCATTCCAACACCTCATCTGTTACAAATACAAACTTTAATTGCAATTGGTCACATGGCCTGTATGTGATTTGTCTCACTAAAATACCATCTCCCCAAGCCAAATAAAGAAGCTGTTCATCAAAAAGACAACTTCCAAGTACAATCAAAATAAACAGAAGTTAATGGCTAGAGTAGTGCAAGTCTTATTTGCACATGCTTTCCAATTTCTATATTCTTAGATCTCTGTTATGTAAGTGCAATGCTTTTATTAATGTGCCAGACAAACCTAAGTTGATAGCCATCAAAAAGCTTGCACAGCCTACTGAAAGCAGCTAGTATTAGGAATGGTTACAATTAGTAATTGAGAAAATAAGGTAACTGTCCAGTTCTTAAGTGCTGCCTAAACATAGAGCAATCACACATGCTTCACAGAGGTTAACGTGAACCATGTAACTTAACAGCATTTATACATTTTCCACACTCCAATACTAGAAAGAAAAATTCAACATCTCTGCGATTTATCCTTGTCCTCAGTACTCTAAAATAATTACTGATCTTATGGCACCGCTCTATCACATTTCAAATTCACCCTTCCCCCAACGCTGGCAATGGTATTGAATCTTGATGAGCTAATGCTAAACAGTCAGTTTCAAGCACCAAACTACCTCGTCTGCATTTTTATAAGCTCTCTGTGGTTTACATATACTGTCACTATAGTTGACCACAACATAAATTAGCAGCTATTTTGATTTTGGCTTGTCCACACTAATCTTAGATGTTTGATACGAAATACATACCACACACAAAACAGAAATTTAACTTGTCTTTTATTGGCCAAGGAGTTATTTTGCTACAGATTATTATTATTTTACACTTACCATATTATTTATCTGTATGAAATAAAAACAATAGCTATTCTGCTCTGATATTTTAACTCATCCATCTCTGAGGTGTGCACACACACATGCACACACCCGCCCCCCAGGCACCCACTTGCAGCATTTTCAGAATAATACTTTTGAAAATTTCTATAGCCTCTCTATTTGGATCTTGCCAGATAGTGTTTTAGTAATTTTTATGTTATGTTTTTAGATCAAGTGCTGAACAGTCTAGCTAGCCACTAACTCTCATACTGATGTCACCTATGCATGGGTCATTTCCTAAAATCAGGGAAATGTTCCGCCAGGTAAAATCCTACAGTTAGGTAATCACAATAAGAAAGATGATGAAAATTAAGGGACTTACAACTTCAACCAGAAACACTGTCAACACCTCAGACAACACACAGCTTAGATGAGAGTACATAAGTAATTTAATAATTTGATGATTCAGGGGGTTTCTCTTCAAAGGGATTTTTGGCCTGCTCCTGCCCTTCACCTTTACTTGAACCTGAATTGCAGAGGGAAGCAGCAGGAGCTATTCCCATACCTAGCACAGGGCTGCCACGCAAGCTGTTTGCAGCCAAGTGGACTATCTCATGTATACTGAGGCAATTGCCAGCAACTGATCAGAGCTGGTATTCAGCTTACAGGTTGCTCACTACGCAGATTTAGCCTCCTGAAGGAAACTTGCTTGCCATGTTAAAGACCAAATGGAAAGCAGAAGAGGTTTACACCTCAAGAGGCCCTGGAGAGCTATGGGGCAAAGTGGCTGAGCCAAGCTCACAAAACCTTCATGATGGTCAAGAAAATTAGAGTAGGAAAATGGAAAAGGGATGACTGAATCATTCCATCCAGTGCCTCATGCTTAACCTGAACAAAAACAGCTCTTGGAAGTCTGCACGCTATGTTTTAATACTAATGAGGTCCTGAAAAGAGAGATTTGAAGCAAGGGGAACTGTAGGGGCTGAAACTCTGGAGCTGATGTGCCTTAGCTCCAGGTGAAGAGGGAGCACAATTTTCCACACTACATGCTTTATATCTGATGTTTTATCACTTAACACTGTGAGTGATATAGAGTGTGAAGCTTGAAAACCTGTCTACTGAACAAAGACAGGCAAAGCTTTTGTTCAGTTCCAAGAAACTCACACAACTAGATCCAGCATTTAGAGCCAAAAGAGCAAAGAGAGACAGCAGGGTAGACTAGGCTGTGGCAAAAAGAGTTCAAAAACCAAAACCAACCAACAAAAAAAAAAAAAACCCAAACCAAAAACCCAATACTGTTTGGATGAAAATTATTTTTATTCTCCATTTAGCATGTCTACCAAAGTTTGGTGACCATACAACTTTCAGCATTTATTTTGAAAAATCATGTTTCAGCTGTTCAAAATATAAACATACTAAAGAAACCCACCAGCTTTTGAAGCTCGAATACATTGCTCCCGAGAGCAAAGGCTGTCAGACAACCGTGATCTTTTTTCTTTGGGGATACTCTTTAAAAATGCCACACGACCATGAAAATTGATACAAGCACTAATGCCTACTACACATTAGCATGTAATGCAGTACAGCATACTAGTTATACAAAACGCTATTGTTCAATAAACAGTTAAGTAGTAAAACACTACTTAGGAAGGCCAGATGCTTGTCAGGGAGATTGTCAGGAGAAACTGTTAGTCATTTTAATGAGAGGGAAACAAAACTAACTCCTCCCAAAAGTTAGCTCTCTTTTTCAAGGTAAATTAGCGCCAATTAGCTACATTCTTTCATCAATCTTCGTAAATGTGGTTTTTCAGATAAAGCTATAGAAAAACAAGAAAAATCTCTGACTTGTACGTGCTAAGCGCTTTATGCTGAGATAAGCAAAGATTACTTCACTTCAGATTGCAGTGGCAGACAATTCAGATCATAAATGCAATGGCAATTAAAAAAAAAATCACAAAATAATGGTAGTTCTTCCTGTAATACACTCATTTTCCAATTCTGTCTGTTTTGACAGGGCAAACAGATTAAAACAATGGCAATTTATTCTCCACTCAAAACCGTAAGTCATTTAAACTGCTAGTCATAAGAATTATAGAAAATAGTAGAAAGAAGGCTTCCTGAAGAAAGTGGAGAGCATTCTACAGAAAAGAGATTTTTTTTTTCACTTCATAAAGGTAAAACCAGCTTTAATTGCAAACTTTGTAATACCAGTTGCATTCTGACATAGGAAGATTCACAACTACACACAACTACATGGGCTGTAAGTAACTGGGCTCAAAACACTTGTCAATAGAAGAAAAATTTGTGTGGTCCTTTCTGTATATGACTCCAAAAGTGCTCACAGTAAAGCCTGCACTGACAGTATAAGTATTTGTGAGTTTCTCAAATATCACCTGTGAATGCACTTTTAAACTTACCGCTTCTCCACATCGCTCCAGTCACTGAAAAGCCTTTCGTTTTCTTTTTGCAGGTGCTCGTTTTTTGCCTGCAGCCTTCGCAGGCAGTCTAGGCAGTAACCAATCAGCTCCCTAACCACCTCTGCCGGACTTGAAGCTTGCTGTAGCTTCAGGGCTCCAAGTCTAAACTAGGACACAAGGAAAGAATGAGTTACTTCATCTGTATTGGAAAGATCACAAAACCTCGCTCCAACAAACTTGAATATGTACTTAATAAACATAAAAAAAACCTTACAATCCTCCAGCTCAAAGTGATACAATAAATTTGTCACACAAATCATTGTGGAGTATGTGGAATAATCTACATGCCAATTATTTATCCAGCTAATAGGCACAGGACATAAGCACTGACATACTTTCTAATGGGTAGGAAAAGAGATGCCACGCAGGAGATGTAACATGATATAGCAACAACCTGCTCTTGCACAGATCAGAAGACGTCAGTAGTATAAAGGTGCAACCACAGGTTTTATATAAAAGGCATTTTTGATGTAATGCAGAACCACAGGAACTGCAAACCTAACGGTATTGCTAACATGTTCTTGCCATCTGCCCAATGAACTAGCTGGAGTAACTTGCTCCCTATTCTGGTACCCACAGCAGCAATACAACCACATAAATATTACTGACAAAACAAATTAAGATTAATTACTTTTGATTTAAAGTCGCACTACAAATGCCCCTTTATGATCCTTGCATACACCTGATGGATGAAAACTAGCCCATACATTTTCCCTGTCAAGGCTCAGACAGCAAGTTCATAATAATGAAAGGAGTCCTTCAATTAAATAGATAGCCTCAGTAAGCCAATGAGATTAAAGGATAAGATCTATAATGAATAGTTGTATTTCTTCAGCAACAGGGATGTTATACAGGATATACAAGAGGTCTGAACAGATTTGTTCTGCCTGGTCTGGCAGAAACAAGAGCAAACTGTTGTTTCTATTATGCTAAAGTTCATCCACACGCACAAATCAGTATCAGCTAGACTATAAACATGCAAAGCCGGATGAAGATATAAAGATATAAAAAATGTTCAATATGACAGTTTGAGGCAATTGAAGAAGAAAGATATTAAGGTTGCTTGAACAAGGTTGCACACGTTATCTTAAGAGAAGCAAACTAGAAGTGAAGGACCTGACTGTGTTGCTCTGGAGTGGGTAGATGATGGGGAATCTGAACTATCTTAAGGTACACTTCCATAGCTGATAGAGCCTACAGAAGCTATAGGGGGCTTTTCTGAAGCCTCACCACACCTAGCAGCAACACCATTTGCCCAGTTTGACAAAAAAATAGTTGAGGGAGCAGATGCAGAGAAAAGCAGAGTGGGCTGGATGACACAATCCAGGCTTTGGCCAGCTTAAACTACAGCAGACGCAGGACTTTCAGGAAAGAGGCATCAAAATGATTTGGCTTTGATTGGAAATGCCTGCAGAAATGTCTAGTTGGTGAGGGGTACGTGGAAGGAGAAAGGGTCTTCTCTCACACGGTGTAATTATTAAAAGGATTGACGTAATTGTTGCGGCATTTCCCTATGAATAGAACTATTACTCATCTTTACAACTTGAATACACGGCAATAACATCTTAAAAAAATGTAAAATGTAGGGAAGAGTTCAGTCTGTGTTGTGGCACCTCACCTATTAAAATCAGAAATGCCATTTCATTTTTATCCTCACTTTAGTTAATTTTACTTGGAAGGGCATGGCAAATAACTAAATAAAAGACATCCGTGAAAAAAAAAAATGTAGATTTGTTAACACTTTTTAAAAGTTTACTACTACTATACATAAGGTTTTGCTGAAAAAGGCCTTGTAAAAGTTGCTAATAAAGATTTTAAAGGCATTGTTTGAAACAAATAACAGTCCTTCAGCTTAGATATTTTATCTGTGGAAGTGTCTGCAACAACACGATACCATCATGAGCTTCTTCAGCAAGGTTAATTTATCAGAAAATGCAGCAAACCCAAAGGTTTCATTTCAAATTAGCCACTGATCTTTCTTCCAAATTCACATGTACTGTCTCTAACATGTTCTTTTCCTTTAGCTTACATACATCGGATGGCTATAGATGAAGAGATGCATTTATTTTTGGAAATTAGATTACATTATCAGTAACCCACAGTGACGCGTATTCCCTGGATATCACACCTGCTGTTTGACAGCATTAACAAAGATGGACATTTGTGTAAAGTAAACTGTTTTTCATCACTTGCAAGCCACCACCATACTATATGGATAAAGAACTCGTGCCACACTTGAATACTAGCTGCAGAGATAGAGCAGCACAGTAGCACAGATAAATAGCAACACAATCTTCTACTTATACTGTGGAGGAAAGAGCAAGAAGAGTACTTTTTTTTGTCTTATGCTTTTAATATAATCAGTTGAAGTAAGGTATAGGCTAATACATTTAAGCAGGACAAATCAGCATTGTCCAAATTACAGTTTACTCAGCGTAAAAGAATAAAATATGAATAATTCCGAAACAGATTAAAATGAATCAGCCAAAAACCTGATTCCACTCACAATCAAAATCATGCCAAACACAGAGCAGACATTTCAAAAGCAATTGTAATTATAAGCAAACAACAGTTCAGCTTCTTACTTAAACATATTACATAAACCAATACTGCTAGTGCAACGTGGAGTTTTGAAACTGCAAAATACATCCTTAGCTTCATGGACTTCTGCCATGAGAGGATTTCTGAAAATCTGTAAGAAAAAACAATGTCGTCCTTTTTATAAAAGCTGATACACAGAAAGAAATCAAACCAGGCTTTTGGGCATGCTACCTTTTTTGATGAATTCTCAAAATGGAGAGGGGGACAGGTGACACAGCAGGGAGTGGAGTAAGAAATGCATGCCAGCCTGACAAGCCACTGCTAACGTGCAGCAACAGAGAGGGGGTGCTGGACAGATTTGCCACACTGCTACAGGGACCCAATGAATTTGGTTGGCCAACTTGTTAACTGTTCATTTCAAAGTTACCACAGTAACAGTCTTAAATTTAGTCTTTAATTCAGTCTTTATACAAGGCAATTGACTATTACCTACTTTCTTACATGAAACTTCACTGTACTGCTTTCTGTATCTTATACACTGTGATCTGTGGACCATTTCTAGCAGGTAAATAAAGCAAACCCATTACCAGGAGGCTTAAATCCATTAGGCTGGTGCTCAAATATCAACCAAAAAAAACAAAAAAAAAAAAAAAAAAAAAAAAAAAAAAAGAGAAGGCTTCTGCAAAGGAGTATTCTTCTGTGTATTTTTCCTCCCCCTCCCCAGTTGCCTAATCTTAATTTAACATACTCATAGGAGCAAATTATCTGGGTTACATTGCAGCTACCTCCAGCACCTCAGTGCAGACAAACACAGGACACTTAGATACAACCTAATTAAGCCAAAAGTAATGTGATATTGGACATGCACTTTTGCTTTGCCTCCTTCACACAGAATGTTATACGAAGTGTACCAAAAAGCCTTCTTAGTATGTTTCTTCATCATGAAATTATTTGTTACAACGAGCTATTCCACTGCCTATTTAACAAAAGAAATGTTAGCACTAACAATAGTAACATTGTTATCTCAGCAAATTACAACTGATCGGCATTCGCCCCTGTAAAGAGCCCAGTGCTGAGAGACTGATAAACCATAAAAGAAAGCAGCCAGACCCATTTCAATTCCAAAGCATCAGGGAAAAGCACAAGCCATTTGTAAAACAACATAAAGAAAATGAAGTCTCAAGACAGTTTTGCTCTGGAGTCCTACTAGCATCCCAAACTGGAAAGAAAACTGGTGAAGGAGCAGATGCACAACAAAGCACAATTTTAGATCCAAGGATTCTGAATTCAGGACAGACGTGTAATTTGCAGCACTGATTAAGATAGAATTCTGTTAAAACTGAATGGTTGGGGGAGAGGGGGCGATCATAAGAAAGGAAGCATTAGTTTTTCCACATACTGCTTAGGTTTTGCTTGCAACTAAACAGAGAAACAGTCCAGTTATTTCCTTCATTGCCAAAACCACAGTAGTGAAGTTGGAAACAATTCTAGGAAGATTCAATAGAAGTGGTTAAAGATCAGGACACCATAAGAAACTGGGTGGGATATCAAGATAAATAGATTGTGCTTACTGCATGAGTGAAAGCTCAACATTAACACTTCACTGAGCTAATTTTACATATAGCATGTCTACAATTTGGATCACATTTCCAAAGCGAGCCTCATTTTGTAAATTCCTCCACATTGCTCCTCTCTAGATCAATTTATATTTCTTGCCATTCTTCCAGCTGCTTTAGCTCTCTATCTTCATATCGTCTGCAGATGTAGTTAATGTGCTTTCCACTTCCTCTTTCAGATCATTCAGAACATTATGTAAAACAGTGAAGCACTAAACACTTCATTTACACAGAAAATGAGCAGATCTGCTAGAGGTCCCAGTGGACAACAGACTGACTGACTGATACACTGCTCTCCTTCAATATCTGTTTTATTGTTTGTTGGGATTTTTTTTTTATTATTGTTTTTTAAAGACACATGAAGATGAATATAGAATCATTTAGAAAGTTGTGTTCCCTTAATCAGAAATCACACTCACCACTTATCCATTAGACCGGTATTTTAAGCTTAGAAATAAAAACAAGAAATAGAAGCTTATGACAAAACTGTCATTTTCTGTTCACCTCTCACCCTGCCCACTGGTTATCTCCTACAGACAGAGAAAGAAGTGATCTCAACCATAAGACAGAAAATATTTTGGAAGTCAACTGAAAAGCTTCTCAAGTAATTTTTCTTTTAATTACTGCTGTTTACAGGAAGATGCTTCACATAGGAAAAAAAAAAGTCATTAAAATATGAACTAGTACATTTTTCATGGAAAATTCTAAAACGACATGAAAATTACTTTATTCTATAGAGATGGTGGATTTTAATTTTGCATTAAATGTATATATGTTATATAATCTTAGCATTACTACATTCCACTAGAAACGAGAGTTATCATATCTAAAGGCAATAATTATCAAAGGTTATGCACTGAAAGGAGAAGCCATTTACACAGCAATGCCTGCAAGCTCTCTGTTCTGGGGCAGAATCTGAAGATAGATAACAACAATGAGCTAATTTCCAA